AGCCCTTATTTACAGTTAGTATATATTATAGTGGATTTTTTAATCAATACTTTAAGTTTTAGAGCCTTTTTATTATTGTCAAAAGGTGTTGGAGAAAATCAGGAGAAGTGATGACCTCTGGATTTCTAAAACCTTATTTATAGCCCTCAGTGTATCTTTATTGATTAAATATTAGTTGAATAGAGGCAAAGGTCCAGACATACAGATGTGTTATGCCTGAGGAACATTTGGTAACGTAAAAAAAATGTGTTTATGTACTTGCAGAAGGAACTTCCTAACAAGAAAGACTGCCCACACATGTGTGCCTACAAGCTGGTCACTGTCAAATTCAAGTGGTGGGGCCTGCAAAATAAAGTGGAGAATTTCATTCAAAAGGTTTGTTGAGAGGTTTTTTTGTTTTCTTTGCTTTTTACCTTATTATCATTTTGACACAACCAGGAAGCTACAGGTCATGGCCTGCTACTGAGGAGGGTTTATTGTTAAAAAAGTCATTTACATTGTTTATCCTGCGGGACATATCCTTTTTTTCCTTCCTTGACAATATCTGTTAATGGCTGTTGCACCACGGTGTGTTATCACACATACAGTAAATCCTGACCACTTGAGGTAGTAATGGAAAAAGGCACCACTCACTATCATGTCTTGACGCATGCTCATTCATCCAGGGAAATAAATACCAAAAGACTGATTCTGTTCGCCTCGATGAAGCATTTTTAGTGGGAGGAATGGTACTCCGTGAATTGTACTTATGGCCATTGATCCATGGTCATTGATCAGTGGAATTTGATCAGTGGTTGTTGATCAATGGTCATTACAATTTGCTCATTAATGATCAAGAAACTGACCTCACACCCATTGTTCCTTCAGTGGTGCTGGTTTCAGTCGTTATGGAAATGTACTGTTTATAAGATCAGGGAAACTTGCAGTCAGCTCAGACTGAAGAAGTCACTTTAATGAGTGATGAAATGTTTCTCCCAATGAAAACTCTACATCCAGATGAACAGAATCAACCTTTTGGGACTCATTGTCATGTTCCACATGTATGCTGCCAGCCTCTCCGCAATAAACGGGGTAAAAGATTGGAAACAGGATGAAATTACACATCTGTTACGTTAAGAAATACAGCTCCTTTAACTAATCCATAACTTTTCTCTTTATTGTTTCTGTTGTCTCACAGCAAGAGAAGCGTTTGTTCACTAATTTTCACCGCCAGCTGTTCTGCTGGATTGACAAATGGATTGAACTGAACATGGAAGACATACGTCGCATGGAGGAGCAGACACGTAGGGAGCTGGATGAGGTAAGCCAGGCAAGATTAACTTGAACTTGATACAGTGTATCTTTTAATGTTTTCTACCACATACCGACAGTTCGCTTTCCCCTATCACCTCCTGCAATTCTTCTGTGGGGACACAGAAGCGTTCTTAGGGCAGCTGTGAGACATGGGCTGTATCCCAATTCAGGGTCTGCAGCCTTAACGGTCCACAAGGGCCGTGTACTTAAAGACCGCTAAGGCCGGAAGTGCGAGGCTTGTGAAATGGGACGGACTGGCCTTCGTTGCGCTGCCCAGGTTGCCTAGCAACCATGATGCTAACAGCTGGAAACGTTTCATACAGCTTTGTTTGACAGAAATAAAGGAGAAAATCTTTTGTTCATTTGTTTGTTTGTTTCTACATGAGCTTTGATCACCAGCACCAGTACAGCTGCTGTACTGGTGCTTTACCAGATTTGCCTGTTTTCTGTCTCACTCATGAACAAGTCCAAGAGGTACTTGAACCCCTCCACTTAAGATGACACCTTAATCCCAATCTAGAACAGGAAACCCAATCTTTTCAGGCTGAAAACCATGACCTCAGACTTAAAAGTGCTTATTCCCTGCTATTTAACACTTAGTACAGACCAGGTCAAGGCCATGCCACAGTTTGATGAAGCCAACACCATGTAAACACCTTGTTATAAGTAAGGCTATGATTGTAGTCCTTTGCAGACACACACACACAGACAGCTGTGGAGCAGACAGACATACTTTATTATACTACTTCTGTCTGCTTGGAAGATGCAGTTCTTTCATACGCAGCAGCTCAACTTCTACGTATTTCACATATTTCGTTGCGTTGAAATGTTGTGATTACTACACACTAAAGCAAACAATTAAAAAATTCTTGTGTGATTTTTCTCTTTTGTCAGATGAGAGTGAAGGACCCTGTGAAAGGGATGGTCGCTCTAGAGGACTGAGGCTGTATTGGACCGTGAATGCTGCTGCTCATCAGGTGAAATTATTTTTGTCCTTTGTGTGATCGTAAATTTGTGCCATGACATGTTCGTTGAAATACTGGATTTTTCCCCCAGTCTCGCTGCTCATTGTAACTTCCCAAATCCAAGGTGATGTGTTCAAATTGTTTGCGTTGTTTGACCAGAAACCTCAGTGTTTTTTTTCTTCCGTAGTTAAGACATTAATGAATTAGCAAAACATTTGTCTTGTTTTAAGCTAAACCTTAGTGTCCAGGAGCCCTTTAAATGATCTCATATATCAGTTACAGTGTATAAGTAACAAGAAATTGCAGCCAGTGAATGAAGTTATATGGTTTGGATTATTGAATCTAAAACAGCACAATGTGACCTTAATAAGTCGCCAATTAACACAATTAACAGGCTTTTTTGTTGCTAAATTCTTCACTGTGATTATCGGCTAGTTCACATGCATGTTGTTGCTGGAAATGAGGTTCACAAGAGCAGGCAGGCTTGAAATCTGAGTACATTTGAGAAAAGCATCCAACTAAATTTACATATATATTTAGTTACATGCTAACTAAATAGTATGCTTTTAGCATGCAACTAACTGCGTGCAATTGAATTAGCATGCAATAAACAATAAAGGAAATTAATTGTTTATTAGGCAATTAAAAAAAGCAGACAATGTAAGTGATGACTGTCTTTCTGTCTTCTCTTTTAGATCAGAATATCCAGACACCAGCGGATTCACATCCTCCTTTTGTCTCAACTGACGCAACATCCGACCGGCCGGTCCAAAACCCACCTCTTGCAGTCCAATTTGGTTTCAGGGACCTGGACCCAGTAAACTTCCAGTTTTCAGCTGATGTTCTCCGTCCTTCCCTCCTCTCACACTCATCTGTATTTTTGGTTTATTTTTTTTGATCTAGTGTCCCCATGTTAATTGCTCTGAGGCCTCCAGTAGCAAAATTATAGATCTTGTCAGTCAGTCAGTCCTCTCTTTCTGTCTAAATTGTTCTAAACTACAGAGAATAGTGTCATTTATTTCTATTTAGGATATCCCAGTAGTGTATATATAAAGTATATCGGAGAGTTGAATAATTGTACTGAAGTACATATATATGTGTATATACATATATATATATATATATATATATATATATTAAAAAAAACAAGATTTTTAAAATGATTCAGTACATTTTGTGAGTGGATGTTTATTTTTTTTCCAGATCAAGCCAAGCTGTATGCTCAGTGCTGTGTTGCTTGTTTGATCCTTTAATTTCTTCTTTTTTTGTCATTGTATCTCCTTTTCTCCATTTGTGTCATGCAGTGTTTCCCTTTCTTATTGAAATCGATTTGCAAATCTACAAATCCCAGCTGCAAGGTCGGGATTGTGCTAAGAGTTTTGTGTTATCTCTGCTATAAATCTGACCTAACAGATACGATTTTTGCCCCCGTAAATATGTTGACAAGTTCATTAGCTTTTCTGCTGCTTTGTGAATGTGTGTTTGCATATATATATATGTGTGTGTGTGTGGTTGTGGCAGGGCTTAGTGGTGTGTGTCTTTGTAACATTGCTAGGTCACCAAGTTTTTCAGCTGTATTTTTCATGCCTCTTTCAGCAGATCCTCCCCAGTTTCATTTGGCTGTTCGGGGTGCTCGAAATTGCCGTAATTGAAGATTGTGTCTGAATACAAGTATACAGTAATGCATATAAATAGAAATACAGAGAGAGCAATAGCTGAGAGGGGTGCTGGTAAAATGTGTCACCGTGCAAAATAAAAAATTTAGAGCAGACAACTGGAACAGTCATAAACAAGTGTAGGCCTGTGTCTTTTTTTATTCTTCTGTTGGTGATCTGTGCTGTCATTCTGCATCAGGTCTTGCCTTGTCATCTGTTGTGTCATCTTCAGTGGATAAATGGTGTTATCCAGCAATAGCAATAACTATCATGACACGCTGGTCTCTCCTTGGTCATTGCAGTTTTAGAAAACTGGAGCGCAAGCCTCAACTCAAGAGGGCTCAAGTTGCTTACTCATCATTAAATTCCATGTTTATTGTCTTTGCATGGGTTGATTTTCTCTTGTGGGATCTAAAGGTTGTTATTTAAATTTGTGTTTTGTTTTGGAGGGGATTTTTCTGGGTGTATGCATGAGTGTGAATGTGTCATGCAGGGTAGTGAGTGTCTTTGTAGAAAGTTGATCCTAGTTACAAACAAGGGAGAAATTAAGCTACAGCGGGCGCTATTTTGTTTTTCTTCTTGCTGGTGTTTGTTTGGCTTCCTTTGCCTTCCTTCCGTCCCGTCATCTACTTCACATCCTGCACATGTTTTAACAGTATGGAAAGCTTAAAGAGAAAGCAACAGGTAACGAGACAAGAAAATGATTATGGACATTTTGCACTAACAAGCTAATATTAGTTCATGTAAAATAATTTAGAAACTTTAAAATAACAGATAAATAAAGCCTATTTTTTGTAGTTTATGCACAATCATTACTAAAGTACAATAATGCATACTTACTGAATTTTGTAGTATAAATATCAATTTCACTATTGGGTTTTTCATTTGCAATTACTAAATAAAAACGGTATCGATCAAGTACTGTCATCAGTCAAAATGACGTCTGTCCCAAGCATTGCAAGAATTATTTCTTCCATTGACTCTTTAATTAGGATAAGTCATTTGCAGAAATTCTTAAAAATGCAAAGGTTTTCTGGAAGACTTCCAGAAGTTACTCTCGTGTTAAGCTACATTAATCTAAAGGACTATTATGCTGAATCTGGTTAGATTCAGGTTTTCAGTTTACAGGGAAACGTGGAGCTGAATTGGCTCAGCCCTAACCCTAATTAACAAGAAAGGTAAAGCAAATGATTGACAGACATTTGAGCATTGTCTTTGAGCCTAATCTAATGTGCACACACATTACTGATGAATTATTAAAAGGGACTGTTCTGAGGATTATTATCAACCTTGTGAACTATAAATTTTAAAAGGATAATGTTTGATCTTTTTATGTTTGCATATGCCAGATTACTTGAATAAGGCCATCGTGGCAAACATTTTTCTGTTGCCTCCTCTTTGACTCCAAAACACTGGCCCTGGATATTCAATCCCTGCACCTCTGTGTCCATCAAGTGTGTCCATCAAGTGTCTCACTCAGTGTCTGTGATGGGGCTACCAACTGATTCATGGAGGTTTGTGGATGTACTGTATGTACTGACTTTGTAAATAGTAAATAAATTATTGTAGATGAACACATATATATAGATCAGGCTGTCCTGCCAAAGCCTACAGCACACCTCTTAACACTTGATCCTCTTAATTAATCGCTATCTACTCAGCATTACACACCATCAGAATCAGAAAATGTTGAGTTCTAGTTGCTGGATTTAGTAGTGATAAGACATTTTGAGGAATATTGTCAACTGTAGTCATAAAAAGGCATTCTTACATATTGTTATAGATGTTTAGGCTGCTCAAGTGAAGCAGCACTTCACATTTGAAGGAAAAAATAAGAAAAGAGCCTATTTGCTATTTCCTGTCCTTCATTATTCCCTCACAGGTACCACGTCTCATTGGCAGGACAGTGTATAAATATATATTTTTGTTCTGAATGTTGTACCTCTGTTGTCAGTCTCTGAACTACACTGACTTCTCTCTGCAAAGGAACGGCAGCTTGGGTCACTTCATTGATCCACATAATTAGCTGATGGCGTCGGCCCTTCGTGACGCCGGGGCACGAGTTAGACTTTGCCCTCCTGTGGTTAGCAGTGGGGGAATCGAGGGGAAATTATTCTACATTTCGGAGCAGCTTCAACTGGGTGCTGGAGTGTTGGAGCTTAAAGCTACACATGAGAAAGGACAAATATATGTGGTTGTTTGAGAACAGATACTGATGTTTTTAAGAGTCTGAACCTACAAACTTGTGAGAGAACGTGGTTTAACAGAGACAATCTCATAGTTATCTGTTGTTAGATTCCTCGATTTATAATCAGAGTATGAAACCAAATGATTCCATAATAATCCCAAACTGTTTTTAAATCGTTAAATCTCTCTTTCTCTCTCTTACTTTCTCTCTCTCTCTCTCTCACTCCTGTTAACTCGTCTCCTGTTTTTCTTTCTTTTATTGTGAATTTGTGCCTTTTTGTCATTTTATCTTCTAATAACACTACTGTACATTGGAGACATAAAGAACTAAATAAAAAGAAACAAAGCAACTGTACATAAGTTTGATGTGAATGCTTTTT